AGTATTACTATTATGAGTATTACTGTTTGCGTGTTATAAATGCAATTGTTTCTATCGTTTTATTATAATTATTGTTATTATTAGCATTTGTTATAATCATTATTCTTCATGTCTTATCATTGTCATATTAATCGCGTTTAACAACTAAAATCCTGGTGTAAATAAGAACAATATTTATCTCGAGTACGACCTTCATTATGTCAACAATCATCCTTACCTCTATATGAACAGCCAAAAGCACACCATCCTTCAAATTATCAACACGCAATCGTCACTATCCCGAATCCTTACCAATCCGACGTTCACCCTCATCCACAGGCCGGTTCATCATCATCATTATCCCCCAAATAACCAATCTGTAATTGCACCCAAACGGCGATTCTGGAACAGCGCTGTCTCTCGCCGCCTTCTCGCCCGCTGATAAATGCACCCGCGTCTGCCCCCGCTACCTACCTGCTCCGTTGTAAGGACCCTGGCTGGCTGAGATTAGAGAAAAAAGAAGAGAGAGAGAGAAAAAAAAAGAGAGAGAAGGAATTAGGAGAGGGAGGGGAGGAGGAGGGAGGAAGGTGGGAGGGAGGGAGGTAGGGAGGTAGGGAGGGAGGAGGAGGGAAGGAGAGGGGTTGGGTGGGTAAGGGAGGGTGGGATGGGTCAGGTGTGGGGAGTCTCCGGGGGGTATGAAAAAAAAAAGAGAATGTATATAAAAAAAAAGGCTGCACGCTGCTATCAGAGCCGCTATACATCTCCGTCACTAATAACAGGTAATTCTTTCTCCCGCACATGGATATCTCTGGGCCGATCAAAGCGCTTCAATGCTATATAGCTATTCTATATGCCCAATTGCCATCGCTTGGCCGGGGCTGTGTGCGGGTAAGCCACGGACGGCGGCGGCAACGGTCGGTCTCGCGGCGTCTCGCTCTTTGCGGGATGCTGCGAGACTGGAGGGGGGGAGAATGAGCGGGAATTTCTTGTTTTTTTTTTCATTTTCTTTTTTTTATTTAGGGGGTGATTTTAGGGAAAAGTGGGGTGGGGGGGGGGAGGAAGGGGGTTGGAGGGATTAGGGGAGGTGAGGAATGGAGGGAAGATGTGGCGGTATACTTACTGGGTGAGAAGTGGGTTTTATCATGAATTATGCGAGATAAGGAGAGAAGTACGAGGCATAGATTTCTTCTCCTTCTTCTTCTTCTCCTTCTTTCGTTTACGTGAAGCGAACGCGAAATATATCAACCTATTAGATCAAATAAATAAGTATCAACAAAAACAAGAACATTCTACTTTTTTTTTCTCAATAAAAAGGGAAGATACAAGACGGCAGCAATACGATATAAGGTGTCGAAAAGTTATCACTCGAATCACACGCTCACTTGAAGTTCAACCACTACTTCAAACCCAAAGCGAAAAACGATAGTGAATCAATATCCCAATTTTCCTTTCCTCTCTCTTTATTCTCTTCTTTTTTTTTTCTTTTTCTTTTTTTTGTACCGCATTTTTTATGTCAACACGTGATCCAAACACATACAATTAAGTGCAGTTGCCTAGTTTACCAGAGTTTACCCTCAATATCAAGACCCCGATCAGAAAACGTGTTGACCATACGTCTATTACAGATATTTGATCACCAAGTGTTGTGATCTACATTAACATTGGTTAAACTATAATGAGATGAATATATATAATTCGGTTTTTACACGAACCCCGACGGAGTGAAGTGGATTCTTTTCATCTTGATAAAAATAAACAGCTGAATGTATAAGATATAAAGAGGGTTGGAATCTATGTTTGAGGAGATCTATTGCGTGGTCAACGTAGGATTAGCTTATGATATTCCCTCTTTACCTGATGGAAATCAAGAAAATAAATCCTACAAGACCTTCCATTGGAAAATACAATATTTACCAAATTCTGTTTATGCCCTGATAGAACGCGATGCAACTTGTACGGCAAATAATCTATTGCAATCGATATATATATATATATTTTCAACGGCAAGGAAAATGTTGCGTTATTGGCATTTCACTTTTAAATTTACCGTTTCGAATTAATCAAGATCGTTGAGGATTTATTATAAACGAACGAGATATTCCGGTTAATAAGATTTTAGTGAATAGAATGTTAGGGATAAACTGTCTTGGATAATTATATTCTTAAAGGCGAAGACAACAGAACGACGGCTTCCAGTGATACAGACTGCAATCTCATAATTGCAATACCGACAGTGTTGAGATTCGCTACGGCAATAAGACATAATATCTGCTGTGTATATGTATGTGTATATAAATATATAGTATATATGTATGTGTTTGTATATATGTATATATGTATATATACATATATATATATATATATAATATATAGTATATATGTATGTGTTTGTATATATGTATATATATATATATATAGATATATATATATATAGATATATATATATATAGATATATATATATATAGATATATATATATATAGATATATATATATATAGATATATATATATATAGATATATATATATATAGATATATATATATATAGATATATATATATATAGATATATATATATATAGATATATATATATATAGATATATATATATATAGATATATATATATATAGATATATATATATATAGATATATATATATATAGATATATATATATATAGATATATATATATATAGATATATATATATATAGATATATATATATATAGATATATATATATATATAGATATATATATATATAGATATATATATATATAGATATATATATATATATGTACGTATATATTCATATTACCTATTTTCATGATGCACTCGGATATACATTGATACACACACACACAATACATATATATATATATATATACATATATACATAAATACACACACAAATATATATACTTTTATTTATATATATATATATAGATATATATATATATAGATATATATATATATAGATATATATATATATATATATAGATATATATATATATATATAGATATATATATATATAGATATATATATATATATACATATATACATAAATACACACACAAATATATATACTTTTATTTATATATATATGTATATATGTATGTATGTATGTATGTATGTATGTATGTATGTATGTATGTATGTATGTATGTATGTATGTATGTATGTATGTATGTATGTATGTGTGTATGTATATATATATATATATATATATAGATATATATATATATATATATTATATATATATGTATAAATATATGTAAATATGTATATATATACGTATATATATACATATATACATAAATACACACACAAATATATATACTTTTATTTATATATATATGTATATATATATATATATATATATATATATATATATATATATATATATATATATATATATATATGTACGTATATATTCATATTACCTACTTTCATGATGCACTCGGATATACATTGATACACACACACACAATGCATATATATATATATATATATATATATATATATATATATATATATATATATATATACATATATATATATGTCTGTATGTATGTATGTATGTGTGTATGTATATATGTATGTATGTATGTATACACTTCATATTACCTACTTTAACGACACACTCAAATTAAAAGCATTGGATGAAATAAATTAAAGATTTCTAGTCTTGCAACGCTTTATATGTGAAAATATTACGTAATTTGCCTAAATTCTGTCTCTCGCCAGTGAACAGATGTAACTCTTAATAAAACAAAGGCTTTAGCTCTCGCGTCGCTCGATAAGTGGCGTTCAATTCCCGTAGAATTTAAGCGGCCATCTCAATTATCTTCGCTAGCTGTTCGCTTCTCTTCCGAACTCAGTCCGTCCCCTATTTTACCTCGAATGCCCATTTTTGTTCTCTCCATTGGCCTATTTCCCTTTCTAGAAGCTTTAAAAAGATTACCTTGTTTTCATCATCTTGACACTGAATAACAATAGAAGTTTAAGTGGATTACATAATAAGTGTCATAATCTCATCCCTTCATGAAAGTTACGAAAATGCGTTCGTGTTTAAGAAGCTTCGAGTGAAAAAAGACAGAACAGTTTCAAGAATTTCAAGTTTTCATATACCGGGAACTCCAGGATGAAGGAAATATATAAGAGGATCGATTTTAAAAGTGTTGGATTCCGTATCATGGGATCCGAGACTGCTACTTAGGCTTCGATTCTGTTTGTCGCTCGTTTTCTTTGTTTTTTTGAGATATTGCAGGGTTTTTTTTCTTGATTCGTTTATTATTTGATTGGGGTAGTTTTTTTGTTTATTGCTGCTTGCATAATTTGTATGATTAATATTGTAATTTTTGTTTTGTATATACTGTACGCGAATTGTATGTTTTAATAGTGAAGTTATATATCGTGTCTAAATGATGATTGTTTATGTTTATGTATATATATGTATAAATATATATGTGTGTGATATGCATATATATTATATATCTTCCTGTCATCATCACAAAATATTATTGAAAAATTTAAAAAGAGCATGGATACAAGAAAATACATGTATAATAAGAAATCATTTTATTTTATTCTATAAAAAATGAACGGTACAAAAAGGCATATATACAAGCTATGTACACAAGGCATACCATTGCTGGGGCGACACAAAATGCCCTTTGTATGACTAGAAAATCCAAACAGTAAAGACTTAACCTATTACAAAGAAACTAAATCACTGGGTGAAATTTTATCAACAATGTTTAACATTTATATAAAATATATAGGTTTGTCGATTATAAAGAAGGAAAAGATATGTTCGTCATAAAAAGAATACAATTGCTGTTTGTTCCGCATTTCGTCATTCTCCATCTGCACTTTCGCGATGGGGAAGACGAGGAGGAAATGGGAAAAACACAAGAGAACTTTTGCTACTTTGAAAGAAAAAGTACAAAAATAAAAATATATTGAAAAAATAATAAAAACTGCGAGATCATATCACTTTTATATATATCTATACCGCGGAGGGCGTCTCCTGATGCAAAGGGATAGGACGTCGAGGCTATTCTGAAGGGGAAGTTCCTGAAGCCTTCGGGAGGCGTGAGGAGGACCTGCGAAGTGTGCCCTGGGGAAGAGGTAGTCGTGGCACTATCTGCTCTCTTTTTGGCACTTCGTTGACTGAAGCTGAGGTTTTTATTCTGCTTGCTTTCGGGGTTATTGGTGGTGTGCTTAAGGCTAAGTACATATGGCACTTGGTGAGGACGCTGTTAAAGGTTAGGCACTCGTGTTTAGGCACTCGTGTCGGCGCTGCGAGCAACAGAGACGGAATCGGCACTCGGAAGTCCCACTTGAGCCTTCGAGAGGGACTCGCGTCGCTCAGAGCGCCATGTGGCGCTTCATGTGCAGGCTGAGGTGGTCGGAGCGCGAGAAGGCGCGCTCGCACAGGCGGCACTGGAAGGGGCGGTCGCCCGTGTGCTTGCGGTAGTGGCGCGTGAGCTCGTCGGAGCGCGCGAAGCGCCAGCCGCAGCCTTTCCAGTCGCACGTGTACGGCTTCTCGCCCGTGTGCGTCCTCATGTGAGCCTTCAGGTGCGACGACTTAGCGTACGTCTTGGCGCAGCCGTTGTGCGAGCAAGTGTGCACGATGGCCTTGCGGCGCGTCCAGGTCCTGCGGCGGCGCGTTTTGGGCTTCGTCGGCGCCTGCTGCGGGGGCATCGTCGGGAAGCCGTGCGGGAGCGACACGGGGAGGCAGTTGGGGGGCACCGCGCCTGCCATGCCCCCTGGCACTTGCCCCGCCAGCAGAGACGGGGAGGAAGGAGGGGTCAGCAGGGGGTTGGCAGAGCTGGTGGGCAGGGAGGGCTGGTAAGCAGGGGGCGCCGATCCCGGGGAAGGATAGAGGTCGGCCGGGTAAGGGGGGGTGGAGGGGAAGTAGCCGTACTGCTGCATGCCGGAGGGGTCGTTGGAGGGGTAGTACTCCGTCCAGTACGTCCCCTCCTTGTAGTCCCAGCTGGCCTCGGGCACGATCTGCTCCCCCACGTATTCGCTCTTGATTCGCCACTGGTGAATCGGGTACGGCGACGGAGGGGGGTAGTGCGTGCCCACCGGCGTCGGGTACGTCTCTCCTGACGGCGGCGACAGCGTGCGGGGCTCCGGGTGGCACGAGGACGCGGCTGGCACTGTGCTGCTGAGGTGGTGCTGGTGGTGGCTGGTGACCTGGGCAGGGGCGCAGGTGGGCAGGGCGGACACTGACGAAGGCGAAGGCGGAAGGAGCGACTGGGGGGGAGTCGCCTGCTGTGGGAGCTGTGCGGACGAGGGCGGAGGGGGAGGCTGCTGGGGCGCGGGCGGCTGCACTGGCTGCGTGTTGGTGGGCGTGAAGGGCGAGGTGGCTGCTTCTGTGGTCGACTGCTTGATGTCTCCGAGCAGCACCGTCTCTATGTCTTGCCACATCTGAGGAGGAGGAAAGCCAGACCAAAAGTTAGTGGTGCTGAGGAGGCAACATGTGAAGGGGGAAACGCTGAAGTCTCAATATCAAAATAGATTGCAGGACATTAGGTGAAACTTGAAAAGTTGAAGTAAGATAGACTGAATGTTTTTATCACAATTTTTTTACATATGTTACAAATTTTAACACAGAAATAAATGATCTCATTCACTCTCTCTCTCTCTCTTTTACATGTCACAAATTTTAACACAGAAATGAATTATCTCATTCTCTCTCTCTCACACTCATATTCTCTCTCTCTCTCTCTCTCTCTCTCTCTCTCTCTCTCTCTCTCTCTCTCTCTCTCTCTCTCTCTCTCTCTCTCACTCACTCACTCCATTTAACTCAATCTTTCTAACTCCTTCCACAGATCACAATCCAATAAGTCACACAGCACACAATCTTCATTTTTCCTTAAAAAAAACTTTCTATTTTTTTTTTTTTTTCAAAGCACACTTCCACACAAAACCAACTACGAAACAACGCAAACCAAAAGTCATGAACTACTAACATCAAGGTAGTCCGCCATGATCTCCGACTTGTGGGGGCCTCGGAGCACCATGCAAAAGGCCACGGGAACGAAGTGTTCAAAAATCAAAGAAAAGAGATTTAAAAAAAAGGTGGTAGGTGAGATATATCAATGCCGCCTTTTCTTCTTTCTTATTCTCTCTTTCCAAAAAAAGTTCACAAAACTGGTTCTTGAAACGGAGATCCGAAGAGGCCAAGTTCAACGGTTCACTTGTGCGACGAACGCGAGGCCAAGAACGCGGAGGAGGCTTAACCGGCGTCGACCTCTCTCCTCACGGGTAGATCCTCAACTGTTTCCCACCTGTATCTTTACACCTGTTCTTATTTTCGGGACGTGTGGCACGGGCGAGGCCAGAGGGCAAGGACAATTTCACTGGCTTTCGCTCGGTTTCCGTTCGATTTCGGTCTGTGCGTTACCGCTCCTTAGAATCTTAAATATGTTAAATGGTTTTGTGATTCCAGCCTCTCCAAGAGCTTATTCCGTCTTCTGTTGCTCCGCGAGAGAATTTTGTCGCTCAAATTTTGTTTGGATGAATTTATACTTTCAGAATTTTATACCAGTTCGCCAACTGAAATGAAAAATGTATATTGTACGTATCACTATCCTTGCCATATACCCTTCATTCACTTTGAATTTTAGAAGCTGACATCATCGTCAGCCAATCGGCAGCGTTCGTAGAAACTTCTCGGCCAATCAGGGAGCGCGAGAGGAGGGGTCACCTGGCTCAAGAACCAATGGGATGGCTGGCCTTAGGGCACGTGCCGCCGATCACACTCGTAAGGTACATCACAAACAATAAAGATCAAATATATCGGCGTCAATAAAGTAAAAGATGCTTCCCCGGAGAAATAACAAACCGAGAGAATCATTCCACGCCGCGCAGAACTCACAAAGAGAAAAGCAAAACGAAGAAAATGCAGTCGCTCCCCAACTCGGGCATCGGGCGACACGTAGCAACCGCGCGGTCCCGAAACCATTTCAGAGCCGTGGGATCTTGGGGGCAGTTTTCATGCCTTACAAGGAATAAAATGCGGCCGCCCGGGAAAGAAGGGCACGTCGCTAATGGGCACCGCAGGAAGCCTCACGCCCCTTTCACCCCGGAGCTACGACGGGCCGAGTGAGCGTCTGCGATAGTCTAAGGCGCGCGGGCTTCAGTTAAGTCCATCTAGGAAGACGTTTCCACCCAGCCCCTCGGTAAGTCTACAAACACTAAACCCGGTGCAAAGGTGAGGCTCAGGCTTATCAAAAGACGTTCGTGTTTTATTACCGACTCGATGAGATGCGTTTTAGGGCCGTGTCATTTCATCAGCTTGAATGAGAGAGAAAGAGGGAAGGGTGTTTCTCGAGCTTTATCACTTTTCATTTTGTTTTTATTAGCTTTGTGTCATTTGTTTGTCTTTCTTGTTTGTTTCTGTTTCCTGTTTGTTTCATAGTCTTTTACTCTACGACGATTATTTGAAACTAATTATTTAATAAAAAAAAATCTAGTTTCGAATTCATTAACATTTTCTTTTTATGTCTTAAAAGTTACAACCATAAGTCCAGAAATCAACAATAACAACAAGATTTTTAACTAAATTGAAATCAAGAGAGACTTTTAATGAGTTTTGCATGCGTGTGTGAGTGATTATGTGTGTGCATGTGAGTAAGTGAGTGAGTGAGTGAGTGTGCGTGTGCGTGCGTACGTGTGTGTGCGTTTCGTGCGTGTATGTGCGTGCGAGCGTGTGCGTGTGTGTATGCGTGTGCGTGTGTGTGCGAGGGGCGGTAGATCATTATCTTCGAGTGCAGTAATCAGGTCCCAATTCCACACAATAAATCCATTAGCATTATGACCCTTGAATTGTTTGTCTGAGGAAACGATGGGTGGAGAAGCATGGGGTGGGGAGGGGAGGTTAATGAGGGAAAGGAGGAGAGAGAGAGAGAGAGAGAGAGAGAGAGAGAGAGAGAGAGAGAGAGAGAGAGAGAGAGAGAGAGAGAGAGAGAGAGAGGGAGTGGGTGAGGGAGTAAGTGATTGAGTGAGTGAGTGAGTGAGTGGGTGAGTGTGTGAGTGAGTGAGGGAGTGGATGAGGGAGTGAGTGGGTGAGAGAGTAAGTGATTGAGAAAGTGAATGAATTGGTGAGTAAATGAGTAAGTGAGTGAGTGAGTGGGTGGTTGAGTGAGTGAACGAATGAGTGGGTGAGTGAGGGAATGGGTGAGTCAGTGAGTGAGTGAGTGAGTGAATAACTGAGTGAGTAACTGAGTGAGTGAGTGGGTGGTTGAGTGAGTGAACGAATGAGTGGGTGAGTGAGTGGGTGAGTGAATGGGTGGGTGAGTGAGTGAGAGAGTGGACGAGAATGAGAATGAAATAGAGAATGAGACAGAGAGAGGGAAAGAATTTAGCTGCAAAAATAAACAAATCTACACCGAAACGTTTTAAACCAGCAGACGAAAACACAAGAAACAGAATAAAGATAAACACACACACACGGAAGGATAACGATATAATAAAAATAAAAAAGAG